GCTAGAGTGAGTGCCGTGGCGTCAGCCTCGCTCACAGCAACCTCAGTCTCCTGGGCTCACGCGATCCTCCTGCCTCAGCCTCCCTCCCGAGTGGCTGGGACTACAGGCATGCGCCACCACGCCCGGCTCATTTTTTCCATATATTCTTAGTTGGCCAATTAATTTCTTTCTATTTATAGTAGAGATGGGATCTCGCTCTTGCTTAGGCTGGTTTCAAACTCCTGACCTTGAGAACTCCACCTGCCTCGGCTTCCCAGAGAGCTAGGATTACAGGCGTGAGCCACCACACCCAGCCTAGATTTCAGTTTCTTGAGCAAAAAAAAATTTTGCAAGAAAAAAATAAAAGTATAAAAATCATTAAAAATTAAAAAAAGGAGACAGACTCATATTCATACCTGAGGTCCCAGAAAAATCTTAGAAACACCACCCAGCACTAAGGAGATTCAAGGAAGTTTTTTTTGTTTTGTTTTTGTTTTTTTTTTTGAATCTAGGCACAGAAGTACGGAAGTTTTTTATTTCCCCCCTCCACTTGCTGTTTGTGGATCTTTTATATTGAATGGCTAAGGTGAAAGATCATCAAATACTTAAATAGTTGAAGCAAAGAGAATTGCAGTCGTTTGGGACCGTTTGCATTGGTTTCTGTTTTACATTTTGTTGCAACTTCCAACATACCTAGAATTTTGAAAGGATCACGGAGTTGCACACAAGCCGGTCGAGTGTGGGCTTTCTCCTCCAGGTTTCATAACTATCGAGAAGGTATTTTCTCATGCGGGGAAGTCAGAAGGAAGTCCTGAATGCCAGTTCCTTCTGGAAGGTTCCTCTCTGGCTGCTTTTCTGTATTCTGCACTGCTATAGGCAACCTGCACTGCAGAAGAAGAACCTCGAATAAAATTAGAAACCTTCGGGGGCCTCATCCCCTGCTTTAGTTCCTAAGACTGGCAGAACACCTGAGTGCTAGCCATTTCTGCCACTCAAAAGAGGAAGTCCCAATGACTGTTGGGCTGAAGACTGTTTAGAGACCCTGACTGGCAGTTAGCACGTGGATCTTTTGGTGAGATCAGCTGCCTTGCCTACACAGACACACAGGCATTAACCACTGAAGGGGGGGCGGGCGGGAGCCGGACTTCAAAGCGCACTGTAGATGACATTGAGGGGTGCGCGTCTCAGCGTTGGCCTAGGGAGTTCTGGCCGGCGGGCAGTCGGGCGCAATTTGCCATGCACAGAGGTACCTACATGTCGAATCGGATGAACTCAGTGAGCGGGGGCTTGGGGTCAGGTAAGCAAAAAAACAGAGGTAGATAAAATATGCAAGCCCAGGTTTGTTTACTCTGAAATCGTTCAGATTGGCTTCGTGTATATAAAAAGACATCAGGCCGGCGTGAGGCGCAGGGCCTGTCATTCCTGGGCCACTCTGGAGGCCCAGAGGCGGGGGAGGCATCCCTTTAAGGTCAGGAGTTAGAACACGTAGCTGAGCAAGAAGCGAGCACCCTCGCTCTTCTTAGAAATTAGAAGAAATTAATTGGCCCAACTAGAAGCAGTACATATTAGAAAATGAGGCCAGGCGTGGTGGTGCCATGCTGCTGGAGTCCCAGGCTACCTTCGGGCGAGGCAGGCTGCAGTCAGGAGATCGCTTGCAGCCCAAGAGCTTTGAGGGTTGCTTGTGAGCTAGGCTGACACACGGCACTCTTAGCCTGGGCAACAGATGTGAGCCACTTCGGTGCTCTCAAAAAAAAAAAGAAATCATAGTGCGAGGCTTTCTTGGAAAAGCCGTAAAGTAAACATGTTTTGTCTTCCTGTTGAAAGAGCATGGTAGGATTTCGATTATCTGTTATTTGCTTCAATGTCAGTTTGGGGTCCAGGGCACCGGGCGCTAGGGGCCAAGAACGACAGAATAGCGGCTATAATATCACTGGCATGGTCTCTTTACAAATCGAGGTCGTATTTCTTTTTTTTAAATAATTTGTTATGCTGTGGGTTACTTAACTTTTTAATTTTTCGTTTACTTTTTTGAATTTTTCTTCTATCTTCCCCTTTTAAAAAGTTTTGACAAAATGAATATTTGTTCATCGTGGATTTCCTTTTGTGTCTGAAAAATATTTCTTGGTTTGATTCTAAAAGAAACACATGCTAATTTATTTGTTAAATATTTTTTCAGACAATACAGAAAATGTATAAAGGCAAAAGGAAAAAAAGAACATCTATAGCCAATCACCCAGGGATAACCACCTGGCATTTGCTTTGCATATTTTTTTTTCTGGTATTTGATTGTTAAAAGGAAATGCAAGAAAGTTGGAATGTAGGCCGGCGTGTGGCTCGCACGGCCTGTCATCCTAGCACTCTGGAGGCCGAGGCGGGGAGGAGTATCGCCTGAGGTCAAGGAATGCAACAGACTGAGAAGAACGAGCACCCCGCGTCTCTTACCTATAAATAGAAAGAAATAATTGGGCCACCGAAGGGTATATATATAAAAAAAAAGGCCCGGCGTGCGTGGCACATGCCTGTGAGTCCCAGCTACTCGGAGGCTGAGGCCAGGAGGATGCCGCTTGAGGCAGATTGGAGGCTGCTGTGAGTGAAGGCTGATGCACGGCCACTCACTGTAGCGCCGGCAACAGAGTGAGACTCTGTCTCAAAAAAACAAAAAGAGAATTTGAATGCACATCTTTTAGCATTTCCTAGAAGCCCCTTCCTGCCGGTCCCCAAATACGGGAAGCCGTCACGCAACACTGTAGTCTCTGTCATTTCAGGACTGGAGTTTGGGGCGTAGGGGGACCCGGGCCCTGGTGCAGGTGGAGGTCGGAGGGGTCGTACAAGCACTAGGTTGCTGCAGTGGCTTCTAGTGCAGTGCACGCACCTGCTCCCGGACAGCCCGCGCGAGGCGGGAGGCAGAGGCTGGGGCCTGGGGCCTCCGTGGGCACCCGCCGAGCCACCAGGTGCGAGCCGAGGTTTTCACATACATCTGAGCACAGGCCGCAAAAGTCCCTGCGCTCGCCCGGCTGGAGTGAGTGCCGTGGCGTCAGCCTCGCTCACAGCAACCTCCAACTCCTGGCCTCAAGCGATCCTCCTGCCTCAGCCTCCTCCCTAGTAGCTGGGGCTACAGGCATGCGCCACCACGCCCGGCTCATTTTTTCTATATATTTTTAGTTGGCCAATTAATTTTCTTTCTATTTTTAGTAGAGACGGGGTCTCGCTCTTGCTCAGGCTGGTTTTGAACTCCTGAGCTTGGATCGTCGGAGCGGCATCCTCTTAGCCTCGGGTCCGGCCTGCCCATGAGTGCCCTCGGATGATCAGCTGGTGCGAGCCCACGGGGCGGCGGCCTGGCGCCTGCGAGATGCCGTGTCTTTTGTTTTTCTGCTTTTTTTGAGGACAGAGTCCTTGCTTTGTTCGCTCCCGGCCTAGGAGTGGAGTGCCGTGGCGTCAGCTCGCTCGCTCAAGGCAATCCTCTAAATCTCCCC